AAAGGGCAGATTCAATATTTTTCAAAAGATGTTTTGAACCTTTTGGAGACAAGATAGGTGAATACATGAGGAGAGGCAATTTGGGTAAGAAGCACTATATTACTGGAGCCAGTCATTTCTGGGGAGAGGTCCTGAGAATTAGGATTAGATAATTGGCTGCCCAGTTTTATGTCAGTTTGACACAAGCTAAAGTCATCTGAGAGGAGGGAGCATCAGTTGAGAAAATGCCTCCCTAAGATTGGGCTGCAGACAAGTCTGTATGGCATTTTCTTGATTCATGATTGATGTGGGAGGGGCCAGCCTATTGTGGGTTGTGACACCCTAGGCTGCTGGTCCTGGGTTCTATAAGAAAGCTGGCTGAGCATGCCATGATGAATACCTAGTGAGCAGCATCCCTCCCATGGCCTCTGTATCAGCTCCTGCCTGCAGGTTCCTGCCCTGCTTCAGTTCCTGCCCTCACTGCTTTTGATGATGAACTGTTATGTGGAACTGTCAGTGAAATAAACTCTGTCCTCCCCAAGTTGCTTTTGGTCATGGTCTTTCATAACAGCAATAGTAAGCCTAACAAGAGGCAGAGAGATCCCCAATCTCTAAGGTGGGAGTGAGCACCCATCAGAGCAAGAAGAGGGTAGGAGATATTCATTTGTGACTCCTTAGGAAGGAAATGATACTGTTATCAAGAAAAGGAGGAATCAGAGAGGAGTGAGGGAACAATCCAGGGGAACCAGAGACCCCCCCATACTTAAGATGAAATGGGTTGAGATAAAAGGGCTTGCAGGGAGAGCCCTAAGCTTTAGATGCACAAGGCATTGGAGTTTGAGCCAGTCTTGTTTCAATCTAGAGCTAGTTTGATGAGAATTTTCTTGAGAGTTCAGTTAGTCATTTCTACTTTCTCTGACAATTGGAGTGATATGGGATATGGAATCTTCAGGAATCTGGAGAGAGGTCACAACTTGTTGGGTGATCATGGATGTAAATTTGAAGCCATTCATTGTCTGGTTGAAGAGAAGATAAGAGACTGAATCAGGGGATAAGTTCAGAGACTAAGATATGGGCCACAGTAGGGCCACCTTTGTTAGTAATTGGGAAAGCCTTGACCTATCCCAAAAATGTATCTACCATTAATAAAAGGTATTTATACCTTTTTTCTTTTGTAGGAGAAACGCAGGTAAAGTCCAATTGCCAGTCCATGGCAGGCATCTGGTGTAGGAAATGGTAGCATCTAAGGTTTAGACTGGAGTATGTTCTTCTGCAGGAATCATAGGAGTTAGATAAGTTAGATAAGTCCTGTTTGTCTGAAGGTTGGAGGGAAGAGTGTAGTTGGAGAAACTGGAGTAGAACTTGGTTAGAGGGGCTGGAACAGAGTGGTTAGAGTGGGTGAGGATATATTTAGTCGGAGGAACATGAGGTGCCTGGGAGTGGATTGGGAATGGGGGGCCTGATAGGCATGAGTGAGGAAGTTTTGTGGTCAGAGGTAGAATCAGTAAGCTGGAGATGAATGAGGGCAACTTCCTCTGTGAGTTTATCAGCACAATTGTCCTGTGACCATGAACAACAGAGGTTGTCTCAGGAAGTAAAGCAGCATTTAAGAGATTCTGGATCTGGACCAAATTAAAGATGGGCGTTCCCCTTTGTGTGAGAATTTCCCTGTCTCCATACTAGGATGTTGGAATGGATAATATATCTTTTTTAATCTAAGTAGATGTTGACTTGTTTGTCTGCAGCCAAGGTCAGGTCTAAAGTTGGAGGTGTGAGTTCTGCCTCCTACAAGACAGTGTGATGGAGGAAGGGTCTGGACTCAGCAAAAGTATAGGAGTGTTGAGAGTAAAGTTGGCCCTAGATGATGGGATAGACAGCCACAAAATGGGGTGTCTTGAGTGAGTTCTATGAATGGGTTGAGGGTGAAGTCTAAAACTTTGATGTGGAGATGAAGAGGGAGCAGATTGGGGTTCTTAGAGGAGGTGGTGGGTAATAAAGTGGTGGGGTTGTAGGTTGAGGAGGGTTGGAAGGTTAGGTTGGGGTCCAGGAGACAGGCATGGAGAACCTGAACCTGGGAAGGTGGTAGGGTTTAGAATCTAGGCCAATGGGATCTTTAAACGACAATGTGAAAAGAACAGTGAAGAACTATGGGGGAATATTTTGTTGGCCTCGGGGATAAGAATGGTGGCAGTAGCTATGGTCTAAAGACAAAGAAACCACCCTGTAACAACCAAGTCCAGTTGTTTGGATTCAGTTGGGGTGTAAGCGGCTCCTGTTCACTGACAGGACAGCAGGGGTATGGCCCTGGGTAATGTGAAAGAAGAGAAAGAAAGACCAGGAAGGGTCTGGGAGTGTGAGGGTAGAGACTCTAGATAGAGACCGTCTTAAATTGTCAGTGGCATTAATAACAGAGGAGGGGAAGGAGAGAAACTCCTAGATAGAGGGGGATGGGTAATGAAAGAGAAGTTAGGGATCCAGATTTAGAAAATTTAAAGAGGCCTTGAAAGGTCATAAATTCCCTCTTGGTGTTAGGCATAGGATAGTTAAGGAGTTCCTTCCTGTCTTCACAGAAGTGGGCTGGACCAAGAATGATGAATGAGGGAGAGATCTCAGTAGGCTACGGGCAGGACTGAAATCTTGGGCAAAGGAGGTTTGGGCACAGGGGATTCCAGAGCATTTGTCAGTTTCCCTGATGAAGTTATCTAAGTCTGTGAGGATTTAGAAATCCAGAATTCCTAATTCCGGCCAGGTATGGCCATTACCTAATTGATATTGGAGCCAGATATGGAAGGAGTGTTAAAGATGTGACTCTCAGCTTCTGGCTCTGGCTACCTGTACCATGTCGCTTCACCACCGAAGACTCTTCCATTGAAATATAAGCCAAAGATCGTTGATGTGGGTCATGCTATTTTATTCCAACAACAACAAAGTAACGAAAACCTTTTAGAAAAGAAACCCAGATTAGTGTGTATATGGCACAAATACAGTGAAAGAGGAAATTTTACAAATTGATGTACAAAGGGTGACATCAGGGAAATGCCTTTGGCCTAGCCAAGCTTCACTCAGCCAAGAAAGCATGCTGGGAAAAACCATGTTGTATGAACTTAGTTGACGTGGGTACTATGGAAGTAACTCCCTGGAGCCCTCATCCCATCCCTTTTCTCCCTTCAAGCCAGCTCAGAGTCAGGTCACTGGGCAGGTACGGCACACTCCAGGCCTTTCTGTATCTCCCCTTAATCAGGTGTCTCTTTTCCAGCAACTATCCATGTGTCTAAGTACAATTCACCATAACATGCTGCAAGAACCTGAAAACCTTAGTGCCTACCCTCGAGGACCCTGCTTATACATCTGACACTTGGAAACCCAAACCCTGAGTACTCTACAAATTATACTCTTTCTGTGAGCTACAGCAGGGAAGCTTCAAATGTGGAATGTTAAATCTTTTTACAAGAACATGTTTCCCCACTCCCATGCATTCCTAAGTATCCCTGTTTTGTGAGTATAAGTACCCGTGACTTTGCTACAATTCATATGCTTATCTGGTATTATAAAAATCATGCAGCTCTTCCTTATGAGCGCCTATGAATTCTGAAGTAGTCCTGGAACTCAAGACCTCCACTTTGAGTCTGGTCTGTAAGTCAGATTCAAAATCCTTACCTTCTCAGCATGTCACACACTGAGAGATGTTTACTGATCTGAAGGTAGACCAGCTGTCCACTGGACAGAGCGAGAATTCTCCATATATGCTAATGATGTTATCATGGCATTTACTCTTTGACAGCTCTTCCCTGGCTTAGGCTTTGGACTAGACAGACTTTCCCTGGGCTCACAAGCGAATTTCACCCTCAGGCTCAGAGAGGATCACATAAGCAACTAGACTAGCTGATCTTAGTGCCCAGATTCCAGAAAGGGCCCATGGAGGGCAACCAAAACATGGATGCAGCCTCATGAGTTCATGTGCCTCTCTGTTTTAGCTAACTCAAGGAAAGGGTGACTTAGAACACTGTATAGTGAGCCTTTTACTTAGTTCTTGAGTCTCTCTTGGTAGGGGGTATTTGTCATTCACTCATCAGACCTAAGCACAGCAAGCACAGAAGACACCATGAACACTTGATGTTGAACTGGAGTGAACTGGGGGAACGGTTTCAGTAGAGTGTTGTGAACGTGCTTAGTGCTCACGAGTGACAATGTGCTCTAAATGTGTGAACATGCAGAGCGGACACACAAAGGTGTTGTCCCCTCTTACATCCTACAGAGCGGCCATGCTTGATGAGAAGATAGAGCAGCGCACACACCGATAAACACACATTGCTGTTTATCTTCAAAAACCTAGATAGAAGTAAAAATAGATGGATTTCCCAAGGTTTTAAAATCTAGTTTGAAGAGTAGTTTCTTCCAGACATAACTTTTTAATGAAAATGAAATTCACTATCAACTCTAATTCTACTAGCTTCTCAAAACTGCGGAGGTGCACAAGCATAGTATAACCCTCTGACATGAAGTACAACTCTACCAAGAGAATCGAGAACTTATACAACGAAAATAAGGCATCTTGGATGATGTAGTCACTGTGTTCTTTACTACAGCTTGTGAAACAAGACGTCATGGCCCCTGTCTCCACCTCAGGAATGAAAATGCATTTCCACTGAGTTCATCTGAAATACCTCTGCTTTCAGTGAAGGGCTGACTCTGTGTTTTAAGTGGAAACTGAAACAAGTTGATATGAAGCCTACATGAAGGATTTACAGGGACCCTGAAAACTAAAATCTGGGAAAGTCAGGTCCTGGGAACATAGACTCAAATTCTTGAATGCCCTCCAGAAGAATGACTTCTAGAAGAGCATTCTTAAGAGTGACCAGTAGTATGAAGGTGTTCACAAGTGGTGAGGAGAGAGAACACAAAAATAAAACAGTAGTTGTACACTGAGAAGCCAGGACATCAAACCACTGAGAAGGCAAAACTTCAAAAATCTTTTTATTTCAAACTTTAATTCAATTTTATTTTTTAATGTGTGAGTGGTGTGTTCACAAGTGTGAAGACCCAAAGTAGATGTCAAATGATTTCCTCAGTAATGCTCCACTTTTCACTGCTGAGACCTCTTCCAGGCAACCACTCTTCAATTTTGTTTATGGATACGGGGTCTCTGGATGAACTGGAGTCACCAACTCTGACTGACTGGACGGCCCAGCTTGCCCTGCGGAACCCCTGTCTCTGCTTTCCAAACGCTGGGATTGCAGGCAGCTCATGCCTGCTCAGCTTTTGTGTGGGCTCTAGGGCTCCTAACGCTGGTCTTCAGGCTTGCACAGCAAGTGCTAATCCACTGAGCCGCCCCCAGCCACTAAGCGGCAGTGGTAGTTCTAGTCCAAAATGGCGCATCCTGTAATCAAAAACAATGGCCACGATGTGGGGAAAACAGGACCTGTCTTTCACCTTTTTCAAAACAACTGGGCCATCCCAGACTAGTCCAGGGGAAGATCATAGAAGATGTTCTTGACATGTGGCCCAAAAAGCTCCAAGACTAGTAGTCTCATATTTACAAAAAAAAAAAAAAAAAAAAAAAAAAAAAACCTTTATTTCCTAGTATTCAGCAAAGTTGCTGGAAAGAGACACCAGCCAAGTTTGAGGTTAACTTTCGATTTTCCTATCTGAGTTAAGTGTGGTGAAAGAGACACTGATCCGGGAAGACCTGTGTTAATTCCAGCACAGAAGAGAAACAGTAGACTGGTGGCTTGCTCTCTGAGTGGCCTGGGGAAGGTTGGCCTGTCTGAAATGCCTTTTCTTCACCTCTAAGACAGGCGTAATACTATCCGGCAGCAGGTCATTACCAAAGTTAAGCGAATTATCATGGATAAGAGCCTGGCACAGGCCAGGGTACGTAGGCATGTATGGAATGTTAAACATTACCCTGCATCTTGAGGTAGGTCACACAAGCATTCCCGGCTGGTCTCATAAGCTGCCCCATGATAAGCGTTAAAGTCAAGGCAAGCCTAAGGCTCGCAAGGGACCTGAGTAAGCTGGGGTGCGGAATCAGGGCTCAGAGACTCCAGGGGCACCTTCTTGAGTCCCTTCACAGTCACACGGACACTGCCCCAGGCACAACCCGCCGGATGTGAGTATATGACTTCCTGATGGTGACACTGCCGTGGTGGGACACTCCTCGCGGCAGGACACATTCCTCTGTCAGCTTCTGAGCCTCGGGGTCCCAGCAGAGCACAGTGGCAATGACCTCATTCTTCTCATCCCTCCCTCCGGTGATGTACAGCCTGTTGTTGCAGGGCGCAATGCCACAGCTGGCTCGCTCGTGACTGAACTGTGTCACCAGACACCAGCTATCTTCCAGAGGGCTGTAGGAATAGAGCGCTCTCATGGCGCCACCTGCAAAGAAAGAACACGCATGCTTGGCATCTTTCTGGGCCTTTCCTCATTAGCCACACGAGTTCTACTTTTGATTAGGCCAGATCTACCATCTTACCAGAGAAACAGTAGACTGGTGGCTTTCTTCCCAGAAAGCCGGGATGGACCCCCAGGTTACTGAGGTGCAAACTTCATCTCCTTTCAGTTCTTACAGGGTGGGAATCTGGTTCTAAAAGATATCTGACTGAGCACAGCTGCAAAACACACCTTCAGACCGGCTCCCTGGGAACCCCAGCTGGTGCCTCAGGTATCTCAGCGTGGCTACGTTCTCATCTGCGTCCCTATACACTAAAATCAGTTTTACAGATAACAAACGGACCGTGTACAGAGGCAATTCATAAAAGCCGTCAGCCTGGCAATAGTCAGGAACAGCCTCTGTTTGGAGAGTAAGCAGGATCAAGGACATCGAGGTTGCCCATCTTGATACTGGACCTTTGAGACCTTGGAGAACTGACCACAAACAAAACCCCAAGAGACGCGCAGCAAGGGAGAGCTACATTTTCTGTAAGGGTCACCTCCCAGTGCCTCCCCTGATCAGCCCTGAGTTACCCACCGAAGCTGTTTGTATTCTGGCATCTCTTTAATCGGCAGTTCTCTATCACGGCTGCACATGAAAATCAGCTGGAGTTTTGAAGACCCCAGCTGTACTCTTCCCAGACACCCTTCTCCCCTCCTGACATAAGGCCTGGCTACTGTAACTTTGTAAAGCACTCTCTGGTAATCCTAAGGAATGGTCAGGGGCTGAAAACCACCAGTCTTTAACAATTACATGCCAACTGTGGTCTGCCTGGCCAGGCTGCCTCTCAACTAAGTACATTTTTTTCCCCAAGTACCTAAAACCAAGGAGGAGAGGAGCATGTCCATGATCACAAACTGACCCGTACAAATGGTTCCTTTTCGTTGAGCATTTGCTACGCTGCATGTTTCAATTTCTGTATATTTGCTATGTTTGCTACACAGCTTTACTCCTGCACTGACCACTGGCCTCCTCCACTGGACTATGGCATCCATGCTTTGTGTGGCTGCTTCTACCTCCTGGACTTCGAGGGAAATTCCAACAAGGCCTGGGTCAACACCACCTTCTCTTCCTTCTCAACCTTATTCACATTACCCAGGCATTCTCAAAATGATAATATTTGGTCTCCTGGATGGCCACAGGGACGACGGGCTACAGAGGTAAGAAACCCTCACCGACTCACCGACAACATAGATGTGATCCTGGAAGCTCACTGCATTGATGCATTTAGCCTCTACTGGCATGGCCGACTTCAAAATCCATTTATTGGTCGAAGGATCATAACACTGAGTCTTATCTGTGGCCAGCTTCCCATTGGGTCCTCCTCCAATGACATACAGCTTCTTCTTGTGGCTAGCAGCGGCAAAGGAACTGACATGGACAAGGAGGGGTGCAGCCTGCAGGGGCAGAGGGCACAGGAGTCAGTGTGCTGCTCAGATTGCTGGAGAAGCTCGGAGCACATCCTCGGGCATGCTTCAACTGAAATGGCAAAGCCCATGGGCTCTCAAGAAAATGCACAGAGAAACAAAACCCACTGTCTCTACAGATTCTAGGAAGCCTGGAGCAAGCTGTGTCTTGGCTGATCCTGCTTGTTTATCCCCCAGCCCAGCTCTCAGGGAAGGAGGGACACAGGCAAGACTAAATGTCCCTGTACAGGAAGACAGCATGTTCATATTCCTTCAATGGTCAATTGCTAGGTGCCAAGGTCAGTTTAAGGGTACGTACATATGTAGATGCTCCCATGCAGAGGCAACACTGCAGATTTGGGGATAAGCCAGATTTTCGTTTGTGAGCCCAATAACACTAAAGTAGACTTTTAGGAGCCTCTTGTCAATCTGCATAACCCTTTAGTTTGAAGGACTAAGTGATGGGACCTGATGATTAGAGAAGATCTTGGACTCCAGCCCCATGGTTCACAGGCCTTAGCTGGATGTCATAGCAATGTGATGATAACCGTTCCTTGTGCTTTTAAATTTTCTGAAGCTGGAACATGCTCTGACAATAAGAAAGAAAATCTGCACTTGAGAATGATCTGGAAACACTGAAGATAAGGTTGTTTTCTTATCCTAGGGCAGTTTTTAATCAGAGGTGGCTTTGCTCGAGACTTGCACAAAGGCCTGGAAATGGCTCATCAATAATGAGAAAATAAATACAGCCTGCCTTCTATTCATAACCAAATGACCCAGGGTTCACAAATGGTGGAGGAAATGGATCCTCCCTTTTCTGGTACTGAGGGGAGCAGGACAGAAGGCATCTGAGGTGAGAGACTCTAGGCCAGGTCATACGACCAATGGGGTTAACCATCTCGGGGTAGGCTCAGCATCCCCTCTATAGATAGGGCTCTGGCTAGCACAGGACAATGCCCACACAGAGCCAGGTCGCCTGGAAGAATGTTACTACTCTAACTGGATCAATAATATTGACTCTTGACTCCTAGGAAGAGAGAAGTTCAAGAAGATGTCTATGGGACCAAATAGATCAATCAACCAGCCACCACCATAGGTAATGTTAAAGTGATCAATCACCAGCCACCACCATAGACAATGTCAAAGTGATCAATCACCAGCCACCACCATGGACAATGTCAAAGTGATCAATCACCAGCCACCACCATAGACAATGTCAAAGTGATCAATCACCAGCCACCACCATAGGCAGTGTCAAAGTGATCAATCACCAGCCACCACCATAGGCAGTGTCAAAGTGATCAATCATCAGCCACCACCATTGGCAGGATTTTTGTTTTGTTCTTGTTGTTGAAGCTTTGAAATTGCTCCCAGAAACGATCTTCCATACCTCTGACCAGCAGTTGTGGAAGGGATCATAAGTCTCCACATTGTTGATCCTCTGTAAGCCATCAAAACCCCCAATGACATAGACTTTGCCACCCAATACGACCATCTTATGCCTCCAGCGGCCTATGTTTAAATATTCAATCTGAATCCACTTGTTGATTGAAGAATTATATTTCCAAACATCATGCTGTGTTTCTTTGCCACCTACAAGAGACACAAAGTACTTTAAAAACACCAAGCAGACGTCTCCAAATCCAGTTTTCCCCCAGCATTCTCCTCAAAGCGCTAAGTGTTCAGCCAAGTCCCAGCCAAGGGGAGATGGAGAAATCCTGAAGGTCTCATAGGAAGGACAAGACAAACTCAAAAGAATGAGAAGCCACAAAGTCCGGGCTGTGCCGCTAAAGCTCAGGAAGGGGGGCCACGTGGAAGGATCCAGAGAAGGCTTCAGTGAGGTCAGTCTGGGTGGGTGGGAGAGTCTAATCCAGTGTTTGTGCTCCCCAAGAAGCGGGGAGCAAGACTGTGCAAGGGCTGGACAGTCCGAAAGTTAGAAGAAAGTTCATGTGCTAAGTGTATTTATTTATTCATTTATTTAAACAAACAAATAAAAAACTAGAAGAAGCAACAGTGTGGAAGAAATTACCAAGAGATCTTGCAACATTATTTGCACTTACATCTTCAATCTACATAAAAGAGTAAGTAGTATAAAGAATGGAATCGACCTCTAGGCAAGCTTTTGCCTACTCTCAAGGGTTAATCCAGTCGGGCAGGCCTGGAATACAGTTTGGGGCTCCTGCCAGGAAGGCAGGTCCACCTTAAGACAATGCATCTCTTCCTTTCCAGAGTTCCCGCCCTAGTGCCCTCCCTACACTGAGCCAGAACCGGATGATGTCCTGACTATTTCTAGTTCTTTTCTAGGCTTTTCTATCAGATACTGGCCAGAACTTTAACGCACTTTAAACTCTCTAAGCAAGGTTTTGGGATTCCGTACTCTTTCTAAAGACACCGCCCACTCCTTATCCCCTCCCCCACTCCACCACCCACCAGACTCCCGAGCTGCCTGTGCCCAGCTGGCTGACCTCCATGCAGTCTTATCTAAAGCACCTTGACTTTTGTTTTTCTCCCCCTCCTGTCTCCTCCTCCTTTCCAGGCAGCTGTAAGAGTTACAGCTTCCTCTCCTGGGTTTTTCTTTTAAACTCTAATTAATTGCCCTTGAGCTTCATTTGAGTCTGTTCTTAAATCTTTTATTAATAAGAAAACCAAGAACCCCAAAGAGAGAACAGACTTCTTGGGTGCTATCTGATGGGTCTTCTGGGGCTCCCTATGATTTCTAGCAGCACTCTTTTCCTGCCTTTATTTCTTTAGCTGGTAGAGTCAAGGAACCCATCCCTGCACCTCTAAATGGCAATGTGCCTTTGTCTTATTTTTAATTAATTTTTATTATGAAAATATGGAATGTTTACAATTGATCGTTTGAGAGTGAAATGGCTAATGTTTCTTTACAACCACTCTCTTAGAACACAAAAATTATGATGTCTATGTCAAAGGCGCATGTGAATTTTTATAGATGCTTCCAGTAGTCCTCGAAGATGCCCCACCCCCTCTGCAATAAAGAACAATGGCATGATGACGTGACCAGTATGACAAGAATGAAGAGATGAAACCATGGACCCCAGGAAATGAGACTTTCTCTAGGAATCTCATGTTGGAAGACGAAAAAGGCTGAGAGCAAAGTGCTGGCCAGGGGGAGAATTTGCCTGCCATAAAGAGATTTCCCAGAGTCCTAGCAATTTTTCAGACAATCTTGTAGGTAGGACCAAAGCCCGGCCAAAGATGGGTTACTAATGGATAGGACCACACTTTAATGGTCCTTAGGACTGCTTGCTTAGTTGTGCATATCTTTCACAGCAGCACTCCGGAGGCAGAGATGGAGAATCTCTATGAAGTTGAGGTCAACCTGGTCTACACAGAGAGTTCTAAGGCTGCCAAGGCTACTCAGAGAGACCCTGTCTCAATAAATCAAATCAAATCAAATCAAAAGCCTGTGACTTCATTTGGGGACCCCAAATATGAACTTGAGTGGGGTTGCCTGATCATCTTTGTCCTTCTTTCCAATGTGGCCTCACTGAATAAATCCCCTCTTCTGCGTTTTACTATTAATTTGGCTGTATTAATTGACTTTTACTACCAATGACTGTTTAAATTTGTTTCTTGGGTATAAGAGTGGTCAAGCCTGGCTCCTTGGCATAGAAACTGTGTGCCTGAGTTTGGTGGGTGTGTCACCGACTGGTACCATGGCTGCAGAGGGGCTGCTCTTCCTTTCCTAGGGCTGTGTCCACATGCCTTGAACCTTCGTCTTTGCTTTGTCCTTTTTTTTGGGGGGGGTCTCTACTCAAGACATTGTGATGTCGGTTCCATTTGGGTAGTATTAAAGATTAGAAAACACCATGAAAACTTTCAACGAGGTCTTTATTAAGAGAAAACAGATGCTGTGCTTTCCTTAGTGACTTAACATCTGGCTGGTTTGGAAAGCATATTGCAAAGATGAGAAGAGCTACCTAACAGCTGCCCAACCTCCCTCAGGTATCTGTGTCCTCAGTTCTTTTAACAGTGTGTAGACTGCTACAAGATATTTAGAAGATTCTCCAGAAAAAGCTTTCTGTGGTGTGGGTGAGGAAGCGAATTCCAGACAAGTGTTCCACCACCGCCGGAAGGACTTTTGGGAAAGGGAAATGAAGAGAGAAAGAAGGTCAAATGTGAAAATAATAACAAAATGAAACTAGTGTGAGTATAAGGTTAGATAAACTACCGACTAAAATTGAATACAAAAACAAACTCAAATATATAGAAGTGATTAAATGTTGTTTAGCAGTTGGCCATCTGGAGACAAGTTAGATAGCTATGCCACTTTACACATAAAACAGGTTTCAAATGTGACTTAGAGAAGGATGTAGGAGACTAACTCAGGGATTTGGAGAGCGTGATGTGAAAGTAGAATCACACAGGAAAGAAAATGGGAGTGAGAATGTAAATGAAAGTTAAAAGACAACCACAATCTAAAGGGAAAGTAACTACACCACAGAGCAAAGGATATTTAGTAAGAAAAAGACAAATACACAACAATAGAAAACAGTCAAAGGGTATGAGGAGACATACTTTAAAATAAATACAATTAGCCAATAATTATATGAAAATTTACTCAATATCACTAAAGATACGAGAATGTAAATGTATATATTTTAGTCTATTACATCAGAAATAATTGTTGATAACAATCGTTTTGAAGAATGTAGAAAATGGGCTCTGGTTAAGCTGCAAAATGTGTAATCTTTGTGGAGAAACATATTCTCCACAAATTCTCAATTCACTAGTCTTAAGACCGCTTCTAGGAGTCTTTCCACAAATTCAAAGTTATTGTGTATGCAGATGTCTGCTAGAGTATTTTTCTGAAGTAGATTATAAACAGTAAGTACATGTGCGGTGGCAGAAATCAGTTCTGATTACCAAATCTGTTCCTCCTTCCTGGACACATAGCTAAACTACATTGCCGACCCTCTATTCTGGGAAAGAAGGGCATGCTGTTGGCTCTTGCCAGTGGCCTTGTGGCCTTGCAAGCTATAGCTTTGTGGAGTAGCTGTGTCTTCTCCTTCAGGCCCTGTGTGGAGGATGGCAGAATCCTATGTCAGAAAAAAACCCGAGTCTCTGAAAGCCTAAGTTAAGCGATGGCCTCCTGACCCCACCACTCCCACACACCCTTGTTCATTCATTAAGTGGGACTTGGGGCTTGTTGAAATAGCCAATATTAGTTATCCTAACAAAATATAAAAATAATTTATTAAAAAATATTAAAACATGGAAATTATCATGGAACCAAATGCCATTCTCTGTATTGTTCAAATCTTATGGTATTCCTACAATAAAAAGAAACTTATAGTCTGATCAATATTATGAACAGACACGGAGATCAGCTAACATTACTCTTTGGAGGACACTAAATACAAAGCAGTGGGAAGGGGATGCTTGCACTCTTCTTTTTATATGAATGAGAAGGACTAGGACCCGGGCTTAGCCCCTGGATTGTGATCCTGTCCAACCCCAGGATATAACCTAGAACCTCTCTGAGCCCTGTTTTCTCCTACTTCATAATTTACCCTCTCTTGCTATGACTGGTAATTACGTGTTGTTAAAGTACAGGTTTACCTACTAAGCGGGAAAGATGACAGAGACTGTGTCATTCAAAAATATCTATTGAGGATTTACATTGCTAGGTGCGAGAGACAGATTTAACTCTCACAGAACTTCAAGTCTAAGGAGAAGGCAAGTGTAAATAACTGTTAATAATTGAGCAATAACTTAGCAACGAAAATGTAAATGTATTCCCATTCTTTCAGTAGAAGCAGATCACTGAGAAGTTTGGGAAGGTCAGGTTTGTGGGGGGATATGACATTTCATTATGCTAGTCCTACACTCAGATCAGTGCCCTGTGCCTGCAGCAGACCGAACAAACCATTTTGCTGTCTGTGCTGCTCATATTTCAGCATGTTTGAAGTGATAATGCTTTCTCCAGGATAAAACCACCTAAGCTCCTGGTTCTGTATCCTGACCCACAGAGCTAGAACACTGAACTCACAGACATTCTCGCACGGCGGTTGGTTGGTTGGTTTTTACTTAGGGAAGCATAGAATGCTATTGAGGAACCGCTTTGATCCCAGCCTCCAGCTTACCTGAGATGTAGACCTCATTTTTTAATGTCACACAGGCAAACTCTACCCACTTCTTATTCTCACTCTCCAGCTCATGCTCTGTCAGCGGGAGCTTGGCCACCTCCAGGCGACTGCGCCTCAGGGGGTCCAGGCAGGTTACCTCGGCCACAAATCGTTCATCTTTTGTGCAACCGCCAATAATCATGAACACCTCAGACTGGAACTCATGCATCCTGGGCTTGGTGCGCTCTGAAATAATCTAGAAATCAATGAGAGGATGTGTGGACAGAGGGAATAGAACATGACGATGCACAGCCTGGGCTGTGGAACCACAAAAGGCAGGTCCCGGTTTCTGCCTCCACCACTGTTAGTCTTGTGACTTCTCCTTGACCATTCCTTCATCATCTGTTTGATGGCTGTCTGACTGTAACTACCCAGTAGGTTTGTTGTATTAGATGGCATAACACATGGACTGTGATGACCCAGATCCCACTGTGGAACAGGTACTGAATGAATTGTTACCTGTCATTTCTGCTGCTATCTTAAGACAAAAATCTGTTTGCCACCAAATGCACTTCCCGCCTCTTCTCTCCTACCTGTTCTGAAACCTGAGCTCCTGGAATGAGTGTCAAAGTTAATATTTATTCAATACCTATTGTCAAAATGTAAAAAAGAAAGAACAGGCTGGGGGTCCACGGGAAGGAGCTGACTGACACACGTCACCCTTCAGAAGGTCTTTATTTGGGCGGGGGTTGGGTATGGGGCTGCAAGGGATGGCAGGTTTTCAAATCCAAAGAAGAACTTCCTTAAGAGAAATAAAGCATTGTGACCACAAACGGCCATAATGGGACCTTGAAGATGTGTGTGTTTGGGGGTGGGGGAGAGAAATGACAGAGACAGAGAGCCTTGCTTCAAACCCCAAGAAGAAAGGGTGTTTCTGACTCATGGGTTTTCAAGAGATAGGCTAACTTTACACAGGTACTTTAAAATTCAGTCTGTCCTATTGCACCTGCCAAGGGGCATGGAGCAGGCTGTAGGAAGGACCAGAAGCTTGTCTTGCTGGTACAAGGGGGAGGGACTACCAGGCTGTAGATGCATGCTTTCCTTCCTTATCAACTGTTTGTTCCAGAAAGAGAGCTAGGGGGTTGGGGGGGGGGGCTCATTTTGAGAGAAAGAAATAGAAAGAGGGTCTGTTTTCTATTACTTATTATACACCAAGCCCTGGGCCAAGCACGTTATATAACATTGCAGTCTATGGTAATGGTCACTGATACTATTGACATTCCCTAATAGAAGGAAGAGGGGCCTTTATGCGGGAGTCCAGCCATTACTTGTCTCCTACTCTCCTCCAGCTGCAAGTGATCTTGGGAAATGCTACAGTAAAGAAGAAGTCCATCGGTAAATGAAAATGGGACTCCAGGATACAGTTTGTGTGACTTCATCATCCATAATGAGGTGAGACTTTTCAGTAATGCAGCCGTCTGGGGGGTCACCCAGCTCACCAAGCTAACTTCAGTGGAATCGTTATTTCGGTTTGTCATTAATATCTATCTAGAGTGAGTCTTGTAGTATGTTTGTGTCTCCCCAACAAAAGGGTTTTTTTTTTTTTTTTGGTTTGGTTTTTTGTTTGGTTTTTCAAGACAAGGTTTCTCTGTAGCTTTGGAGCCTGTCCTGGAACTAGCTCTTGTAGACCAGGCTGGTTTTGAACTCACAGAGATCCGCCTGTCTCTGCCTCCCGAGTGCTGGGATTAAAGGTGTGCACCACCACTGACCGGGTGGCTCCCCAGCAAACATTAACAACATCAATTTGTTATTTGTGTGTGTGTGTGTGTGTGTGTGTGTGTGTGTGTGTGTGTGTGCCAAGGAGCTAGATCCAGTAAATTTTGCATCCCTACTTTGTGAGCTTGTACTGTGGCCATAACATTGGTGGCGGGCCTGTTAGTTGTGAGTACAAAGGAAGAGCGGGAAGACATGTAACAGGATAAATCCTCATTAATGTGCTGAGCCTGAGAGCATAAGCAGTAGAAAGTCCATGGGGTAAGGATGAGAGCAGTGGGCCAGAGCTTGGGGACATCTGAAGGTACGAAGCTGGTTGGTAGGATTCAAGCAAAGAGTTGACACCAAAGACAAACAAACAAACAAACAAGTGCTTCTCTGCACCTTTCTTCCCAACATCAGCCTGGTTTCTGTTCCCAAACATTCCCTCCCCACAGCTGAGGCACAACCTCCAAAACAAGCTGGTCATCTTTGTTCAGTCAGGATTTTGGTACAGTAGCCAATGCTTCAAGAACAGTCTTATAATTTACTATAAGGACATCCCTTTTTCTCTAATGGATTCTCAGCACAAAGAACAATCATTACCTGGGTCTTATGGCTTTCTATGAGTCAGTGGATGGATGGATGGATGGATGGATGGATGGATGGATGGATGGATAAGACAGAAAGCCAAGGTCCCTGTTATGGACTACCTCTTACAATACAAATCAGTGTGGTACCCAGTCTCCACAATGGCCTCAAGTAATGTCTTCCTCCAAGAATTCAGAGCCCTTACTGTTCTGGAATCAGTCTCTCTAACCAAAGGATTACAGCAGAAGTGGTGTCCCACCACACTACCAAAGGCAATAAAGCTTCCATATTGATTGCTTTCTTAGTCTCTCTAAGATAATTTGCGCTAGTGGAATGCCATCTGCTATGTAGATGCCCTCATGGCAAGAAAGCACAAGTTCAAGCCAATAGGCAGTAAGGAACTGATGCATGCCTGCAATACTCTGAGTGAGTAGCATGTGGATGCTTGGATCTCATTTGAGCTTTAGGTTGCTGAAGTCTAAGCCAATAGATAATAGTTGGATCGACACCTAGTAAGAAACTTTACATCAGAGCCACCCAACTAAGCCAAGCCATTTTACGTTCTTCTTTTTCCTTTTGCAGTGTAGGATTGAACACAGGGCATCATCATGCGTGCTAGGCAAGAACTCTACCACGGATCTGCAACCCTGTCTGCTGCTTTAAACTGTGAAGTTGTAGGGTGATTCATTATGTAGTGATTCCCAATGGGGTAAACAAGGATAGGAGAAAGAAAGGTCTCAAATCAATGTCCAAAACTTATGCTTTAAGAAACTAGGTGGGGGGAAGTAAATTCAGAATGTAAACAGAAAAAAAAAGAATTCTATCATGATCAAAATAGAAAGAAAATTAAATAGAAAACAGAAAACAACAGAGAAAATAAAATTAAACCAGGAGTTAGTTTATTGAAAAAAATCAACAGAATTTATGATATCTCTAGCAAGACCAATGGGGGCACAAAGAGCCACTATCTGGAATTCAAGATGCTATGTTACTACAGATTCTATATAGATAGTATAGATCCACGTCACTACATAGTCTATAGATAGTACTGATAATGGGCGGAGTTGAGAACAGCTTTATGCCAACAAATCCGCAACCTGTCTGGACAGAGAAATTCTCTGCAACTCTGTTTGAGAAGTAACAGACCAGCAATGTGTCTGTTAGCGTGATATGTTTTGAAGTGAGAATCTCCTCTCTCAAGGAAAACCCCAGGTTGACCAAACGCCAAACTCCAAGGATACCTGTGAAGAATAAATGAGCAGCAAGCAGTTCTAAGAACAGTCAAGGAATACAGCGATCCATACAGATGAAGGAATATCCTCCAGAGGAGTCGCAGACAGAGACGATTCCTGAACAACTTTGGGCTGAGGTTTCTACCATAGCCTGCAGATGAGGTTTGGCACATTTTGCACAGTGATAGGTACACATGAGGTTTCATGCCTGTCAATCAACAGCAACCTCTCCCTATACCATAGCTTTTTGGTGAGCTTGCTCCTCCGCTAAATCTGGCCTTGTCTTTACAAGATTATGAGTAAAAAACATCTTGAGGAATTGCAAAGGAGAACAGGTAGCAGCAAACACCTTCTTGGTGCCCATTGGGTCATCCATAAACACTGCCATTCACAACACGCCAGAGATTTCTCCTAAGATCTAGAGACAAAAAGTCCAGTAAGACTTGGTTCCTACTATAACAAGTTGCAAGTTTAGAGTATTACAAGATGATGAATTCAATGCCCACCATGTGACATTTGTGTCATGACCAAAGACCGAACCAATGGGAACACAAAGGGTTCTCTGAAGAAGGTAACCTTGGATTTTGAGTAGGCGCAGAAGTTAGGTAGAGGAAGAAGAAGGAAGCATTAGACAACATTTGCCTTGTCCTGAAGGCTGGAAAACCATATCCTTTGGGGGAACTGGACACAATAAATAAAAACCACAGCAGAACGTAAGCATCAACAGCTAAAGAAACAGAGACCATGAATTTGAGCATAAGGGGGATACAGGAGAGGAGTGAGAGGGAGGAAATGGAAGGGTAAAGAGATGCAATGATATTTTCATTCAAAAGAGGATTTTAATTAAATTTGTTTTTAATTTGTAAATACAAACACACACAGTAGAGGTGGGTAGTAAATGATGCCAGAGACCTAAGCAAGAAGTATTTTAGTGAACAGAGCTCAGGGGACTTTAGAAGAAAGAGTGGATGGCTTCCTGAAAGTGAAGGAGAGCCAATGAAAAGGTCAGGTCAGGAGCAAAGTTCACACCTGCATCCTCCATCATCCCAGGAGTGGGGATGAGTTGGTGGGAGAACAGACTGGGAGTACAGTAATGAGGTCTAAGGAATTTCTATAAATTCAGGGAAGAAATGAGGGGACTCTGGACCTTGCCTTGTCCTGAAGGCTGGAAAACCGTATCCTTTGGGAGAACTGGACACAATAAATAAAAACCACAGCAGAACATAAACATCAACAACTAAAGAAACAGAGACCATGAATTTGAGCATAAAGGGGATACAGGAGAGGAGTGAGAGGGAAAAGTGATGCAAGACAGCGTCAGAACAGAACAACAGATACAAATGCTCACAAGAATGGGAAAATGTAAGGAAGTAGCATCCCTTCAGAATGGTGACTGGAGGGGACCCTACACAACTGGGCAGAGGACAGATGTGACAGCCACGGTGCCAAACAGTTTCCACTTCTCACTAAATCCTCCCCACGGCTATGTAAAAACGTGCTATCATCCCCATTATACAGATCAGGAATCCCAGCTTCTGGAAGGACTGGACTCCTCTGCTTGCTGTCCTGAGGTGTGAGCAAAGGTCACTTGCATTTCTGAGAGCCCTGGCTCTCTTCTTACATTGCCAATGAAATGCAGCGCCTCTCACATCCAACCTACCTCGTTGCCGGAAAGGTGGTACATCCTGGCTTCCTGAAGCAGGGGGAAGACCTCGGGACACTGCCTTATGAGAGGATCTGCTTCAACCATCTCCACAAAGTACCACGGGTCCAGAAGTGGTAAGCGCACGTTCTCAAGAACACAGGGGAGTAGGCAGAGTCGTTCTGATTGTTTGTGCCGGACCCAGCTCATCACTGTCTCAAACACCTGAGCCTCCTCCGTCACACAAAGATCGTCACTCTTCAAGATGTGATACAAGGTATCCACCGGAAGATCAAGGAACTCCTCGGAGTTCAGAATCTGAACGAAGTTTTGAATGATGTAACTTTGAACTTGCATCTTTAAACTGTCCAAGGAGTGTGTGTCTGCCAGCCTCAGTATTCCAATACAATTTTCTGGGTTCAAGGCTTCTGTGAGGAAGCTGGCACAGGCATCCACCAGCTGCAGAAACTAACAGAAGGGTGGAGAGTCAGGCCAGGAAGTGCTCCGTCCACAAGAACATTCATCAGTGAGTTGTGTGTGCCAGCAAAAACTCAGCAGCAGCCTAAATTTCGAACAGTACATTCACATAGCCAAGAACTCTGTAAATAATTTAAAAACATCTTACAAGATTACCTTAAGTCCTCTGAAAAATATAATGTATTGGGTTTTCAGATCCGTGCATTAAATCTGATCAGACATCTAGATTTATTTTTGTTTATTTTATAGGACTTGGGTGGAGCACACAGCATTGCATGTGTTAAGTAAGTGCTCTGGTATCAAGCTATTTTTCCTAAATTTAAACCTCTAGATTTAATCATCAATTTACGGAAGAGATATAGAAGTAAATATACATACATACATACATACACATTCATCCACATCAAGATGGTAGGAAACTCCATGGAACAACTGGTCTAATTTCTCCTGTAAATATGCTACAAATGTAAAAAAGGGAGAGAAGGAGGGGAAATGTGAAAAGAGGAACTCTGCTTGCATCCATGATTGCAATTGCACAAATTGGATTTAGTGGGTTATTTTTCTAAAGGGGGATGATGAAGTTGGGAGGAGGGATGAAGGGTCAGAGTGGGTCCTCAAGGAGTTAGAGAAGTGAGGTGTAAATATTACCAAGAACCATTATATGCATGTATAAATTATCAAAGACTAAAAATATAAAGATGAGAGATTTACGAGTTATATCAACTTACTGCAAAGTATGGACCATACTTGAATGTCTGATGTAAGCAGCAAATTAAGTCAGAGAAATGTTTACAAGCACCAATATTTGAAAACATGAAAAAGTATTATTAATTTTAGGGGCAATTATGGTCTTACAGTTATTTTTAATAAGAGTCTTTATCTTTTGAACTAGGGTGATAGTTCAGCAGATAAAAATGCTTTTTAATCAAGCCTGGTGATCCAAGTTCTGATCCCAAGGGAACTGACATATAAAATACTACAGTTTAAGGTATCACACTCACCAATCAAGCTATGGGACGTTTACTCTTTGTTAATGTGTTATTTACCCCTCCCCCAATGAATTACTATCACTTTTGTAATTGAAAAAGAATAATTTGTAAAAAAAAAAATATTGGTTGGCTCCCATATCCCACCTTAACTCTACATCATCTTCTGCAGAGAATATGAATTTAATGTTTGGGCAGCATTTTATAAATTACAAAACATCGTCATTGCCATTGTGTTCAATGCTGATATTTCACAGATCACATCTCACAGGCATCTAGTTCACTACTGTTCTCTGGGGCTGTGTGCTGCACAAGTCTGGACCTCTCTTTGTCCACTGGGTTCACAAGATCATGTTCTCAGTGTGTTTGCGCTGCTCATCTAAGTGAAGGAAGAAGGAGATCACAGGGAAGGGCCAGGTGAGGAAGCCCCTCTGAGGGCAGGTACTGAGAAGAGATATGGGGACAGACCTGGCAGGGGACGTATGGTATGCAAAGAACAGGTTCTGGTGACAAGAAGCAATAAGGATAAAAGGGGAGGGTGGGGCAGGAGTGGTCTTGGGACTGGTTTGGAACTGGCAGACTGAGTTGAAGAGAGTTCAATCTTTACACTGCAGTACCCCTCCAAAACACATATCCCCCATTCTCAGTGCCATTTCCAATCACAAAACATGATTTTCCCTATCAGATCATCGCTTCCAACTTATCTACAAAATGTTTCTTTGAGAGCCAACACAAAGCTGGAGAAAGATGGAGTTGGTGTTGCCTCCCTTTGCTCTGTCTGTAGAACCCAGTGTGCCTACAGCTCAGCTCCTTGCTTGTGAAAGTGATTGAGCTGAGAATCCTAATCCAAACTGTTTGTTTGATTTTTGCATGTCTTTTTTTTTTAATTTTTGATTTATATTTTCGTAGCCCAAAGACGCCTCAAACTCTTTATCCTCCTGCCTCATCCTTTTAAAGACTGAAATTACAGGCTTGTGCCACCACGCTCAACTCTGGGAAACTCTATGAGCTACTCACTGTTATGGTAACATTATAAAGTATCTACTTCACCCTGGCACTTTAGTTCTGGGTAAATAACTGTATAAATAAAAAATGGAATAGGAAGAATAGATAAAGCCCACCCCTCCATGAAGCTCTTTCTTCAATGCCAGTTCTCCCCAGTGGCTTCTCTAATTCCCCGATGTGGAATCTGTTCTTATCCCTTCCTCGGCCTCATGTGGAGGTGCCTGTAACAGCTCTGCTCTGTGCTCTGCCCAGCCAGTTCTAGCAGCCCAGAGGTTCTAGGTCATGATTTTGTTTTTATTTCCAGCAATGTCTACTACGAAAGTCTGACAGCAGAAGAGTTGGAAGGGCCAGACAGAAGAAAAAGATCCTTAATAGACATCTGGAATGCACTAAGACCCGAGAGTTTCTTCATCTGTCACTGCACTTCACAAACTATTTTTAAACAAACCTCTCTTATTTAATTAGTAAAAAGGGGATGTTCCAACTACACTTGCAAGTGGACATTTACACGCTACTTTTACAGATTTAAACACTTAAGATTTTACCTGCAGCCTGACAAAGAACATGCGCACGTGCCTCAGCCCTCTTCTCCCTCCCTTCCTCCCTCCCTGTCCCTCTACAGACAGGAGGAAATAGGGAATTCAGAGTAAAAGACATTGCCTGAAGTCACATAGAAGGAGGCAAGATGAACCTTTAGCCTGCTTGCTAAGGACAGTGGCAGGCTTGCGCTGTTGGGCTAAAAAAAGCCAGGAGAATCTCAAGAGACCTTATGACCACAAGGGAAAGTAGGTGTCTCTGACTGCCTAAGCTCTCCCAAAATATGCGTCAACAAGTATTGCAGAGTGATCCAACCAGTAGCTAGGAATTTGCTGAGGGAGTCATGAAAACAAGAACTTTTTTTTTTATGTATTTGCCTTTGGATAAATTTTCAGCATGTTGTTCCTCGAACCTGGTTTTTAGAACTGAGAGATGACAAATAATAGTAACAGGTATAACCAGTTTCCTGTTAGATGGATAAGTGAATTAAAAGTTACAGTCAGCACTTGACTCTGACAGGAACTCCTAAAATACCACCAAAGAGACACGACCACACAGGAACTCCTAAAATACCATCAAAGAGACATGGCCACAGTTCCCATAAGAAACGTCTGTTTTAAAGAAGCCATTTGAAGGTCTTTTGAGGAGTATCTATCCTGATTCTTTATTCATTTTTGAAACGTTCAGTGCGTGTGTGTGTGTGTGTGTGTGTGTGTGTACTACATGTGTGCGTATATATATACACACACACACAAAGTACAACATTTGCATATTATGTCAGACATCAAAATGTCAACATGGTTGTTCTCACAATTAATATCCTACTCTGATATACAGTTAACACCAGGCCGTCTGGGATGCTGGACTATGAGAACTATTTCTGAACACTTAACCCTACCACACCTTAGTCTCATGTGAACATTGCAAATACTTCAACTAAAGGAATATAGCTGATTTAAAAAAAAAAAAGCAAAGAAATACACACCGTCCGATGAAGTAACATATGAAAAGCCAAGATACCATAATTCCTCCCAAAATGACTAATCCCACAGTATGATACCTAGTGAGGGTGAATTAAATAAAATCCCATACAGAGAACTCAAATGAATTACGTTCAAAGAAGAAAAGAAGCTCCTGGGTTAGAATACAAACAGAGGAATAAAATAAGGAAAGTCATGTGCTGCTGGGCGCACTCCCTGGCCCAGGAGGGTGCACTGTGCTGACAGCTGGAGCACACACAGTGCTCCTTACACACCCCAGTGTGAAAGTGAAGTTACAGGCTGCAGGATGCCCCACTCTGATACACACTTATCCAACACACTTCTACCTGTACGAACCCCAGCTCTGAAGATCAGATGGCATACAGAGCAGCTGCCCCAGTGCGACTCCCCCAGCACACACCAGAACTGAGTCTGGGCAGTTAGAACTAGAAAGTTGGCTGGGCAGGATGACCTAAGTTCCGATTCCAGCATCCTCATCTGTCAGCTCACAGCTGCTAGAAACAACTCTAGCTGCAGGGATTCTGACACTCTCTTCTGGTCTCTGTTGGCATGGGTACACTCATCTCTCTCTCTCTCTCTCTCTCTCTCTCACACACACACACACACACACACACACACACATACACACACACACACGTAAAAATGTGAAAACTAAAAATACTAAAAACTACATTTAGAAAGAAAAGTAAATCTTTTTTATTGTGTGAGACCTGCTTTGAGACAGTGAGAGAATCAGGAGACTTGACAACAACTCCAAACTTTGTCACTCAAAAAAATAAGCTTCTACTTTGGTGCCAGACACTAAATCTGTAACAGTAAATGTCATAGCTATTACTATTTCCAGTTTTCTCATCTTTAGACAAGTCAGCAACACTCCCTACATTCCAATAGAGGGTATTAGCATGAAAATAACAAGGGCTGCTGCAGCTTTCCTGAGCAAAGGTCACTGTGTTCAAGGTTGTGGGCACATTAAGTTCAGAAGACCTCTTGACACAGAAAGATTGCGCTGAGGGTATGTTGTTGGATGGTGGGCAGGACGAGATTAACTATAAACACTGAGCATGAAGTTGATGAGTCCCCCCCCCCCATAAAGAAGGATGGTTTCCTGTCAATCAAACTGGTTGATGGTGAGCACAGACAGACGGTCAAGGCAGTGAGTGTTTACTGCCTAGGGGACATCACCAGAAAACCAGCCCAGCCCGAAATAATTGGCTTGACATCTTCAGGAAGCCCTGGGAAACTGAGCCTAACTGGTGGTAACCTGTTACTCAGAATTCATCAGGGCTGCTTTGTAGTGGATTTTCTATTTTCTTTCCATGATCCTGTCTTTTGTCAGACCTTATAAATCACTCCCTAACTCTAGCCGCAACAGAGCTAATCCCACTACCAACAAGCTTGGACCATGAACCCCTCAGAAGGTAAGCATCCTGGGTTCTGTTCCCTTCAATACTAAGCTAATTATGACCCAAGCAGAGACCACCTCCATAGGAAACAAGCCATGTACAAGATTTGATACTTATCCCTGGTTCCTGGAAGTGATATGGTCTCTCCCAGGTAGTGATATGGTCTCTCCCTGGACTGTTTCTTACACATCCAGGCAACGAGACAACATTAATACAATGGAATCAAGATCAATAGTATGACTCTCAACCTAGGCAAAGATGATAATTTGGATGGAATCCCTGTTTTAATTATGGATGCAACTGATATTATTCATAATCTAATTATTTTATGAAGCTAGTGTAATTACTACAATTATATGAAACAAATATTACTGAACAGAAACAATATATTACTTGGAAGTATTTCTGAAGATCTCCCTCCTCTGTGACACTTCTTACCTTTCAATGCTCTTCTCTCACAGCCACACAAAGTCTCGACTCCCCATATCTAGACAACATGGCCCCAAAGCTGCATGGTGGTGATGGCAAGCAGTAGTGTCTCCCATCAGAAAAGTCAGTTCCACATCACTGCACTTTCAGTCATCCTCTGTGTCGCCTTAATTTTGTGCCCAACTTATAATAAAGTCAAATGTTGTGTGTAGGAAGCCCTGGCCACACCACTGGCTCTAACTAGGCGGCAACACCTGGAAGACACTGGGGTGCAGTCAGGGACCAAGGCACCACACTTCCTTAGTATTGTATGGTAAAGCAGGAAACACCTCATTGCATCGCCTGTCACCGAGTGCCCAACTGAGCATCTTTTGACCTTCAGGTAAGCTTGCTCGCTCACTTGCTCCCTCCCTTCCTCTCTCTCTTTCCATGTGTGTGTGCCTATCTCTCTTTGTGTTTATCTCTGTGTCTCTGTCTTTGTCTGTATGTCTGTCTTAGCGAGTGTGTCCATCTTTCTGTCTGTTTCTGTGTTTATCTCTCCTGTCTCTCTTTCTCTGTGTCTCTCTCTGTGTGTCTCTGTCTTTCTGTGTGTCTCTCTGTCTCTCTCTCCGTGTGTGTGTGTGTGTGTGTGTGTGTGTGTGTGTGTGTGTGTAAATTCCAGATACAGATCTAGAAGCCGGCCTAAGCAGGTCTCTAGAGCTCCCTGCTTTCACTGACTTCAAAGGAAAGCACAGAACTTGTTGGTTCACACACCTGGAAAAGATTGGCGGCCTCCAGAACCCGCTGAACATTGTGCTTGGTGATCAGAGCCTTGCTTGTGTATGTGTAGTTCAGGAGAGTGTGCATGGTCTCCGCATCCACCCCTTTAATAATGATCCTCTTCTCATACTTCTCCTTTAAGTCGTTGCAGAACATGGCCCTGGAAGAGAGACCTGTGATGTGAATCCTTCCAGGACTCTGGGTTCCAGACCTGAACAGATCCCCTTTTAGAGTCTTCTGCCCTCCTGCAACAGTGAAGTCCCAAATCAGAACCAACATAGAAACAGAATCATTTGATGTGCTGACTTCTTGAGATTTTGCCCCTTGATTCTTTGGCTCTCCTTGTAGATGCTATTTCAGTGCCTAGCATAAAGAACTCTTGAATGAAGTAAATGAATTTCAATGTATTTAATGTATCTTGTCATTAGTCTCTCTGGGATCACCTGTACTCTGAATTGAGCTGTCATTCCTAGATGTGACTTTCGAACTCTCTCTTAGAATCACACACAGTGGATAACATCCTGTTTAGCCCATATCCCTGTTCCCCAGAAAATCAACAGAGTTAGAGAGGCCAGGGCTCAGTACCAGGAAGGGACAAAGGAGCAAGACTGTGTCCAGAGAGAAATCAGCTCCAGCCTAATCCTGCAGGGTTGGGACAGTGCACTCCACAGCTGTCCCAGCAGAGATAAAGATACTGCTTTGACACCGTGGGACCACAGACAGCCTTCACTCCAGGAACAGGTAATTCTCAAGCATCCTGGTTTTCCAGGAGCCCAGGAGAGAGCTGAAAAGTGCTGCCTGATGGCTGTGGTGGGCGGAAGAAGGCTAGTGTCCAGGCAAAGCTTGAACTCACACTACTCCATGGCATAAGTGAGAAAATATAAATCAATGCAAATGTTTAATGGTTATTGGTAAATCCCTACCTTACTGATGTATTTGAAGAATAAGTAAGATACTATGCATCAGTAAAAGCTCAAAAAAGCAAGATATTCCAGAATAAATCAGAGGAATTTTAGCTGGGAAAAGACATGGGGGATAGATGGATGAATTTGTTACTTTTCTTGTTACTGCAACTAAACACCTCACAAGAAGTAATTTAACAGGAAGATGCATCCTCCAGCTCCAGGACTGGGGGCACAGGCTACAGTGGGAGAGAAGGCACAGCAGCAAGGTCAGCTGTGCAGCAGGAGAGTGAGCGGCTTCCTTGCATTTTCAGATCAGAAGGCAGAGATAGGGCAGGAAGTAGGGCCAGGCTGTAAGCATCAAGGCCTGCTCCCCGAGACCCACTTCCTCCAACTAGGTCCCACATCCTCCCTAAACAGCACCGCCAGCTAGGAACTGAGTCTTCAAACACATGAGCATGCCAGGGATGCTTTACTTCTAAACTCCGAGAGGAGGTCATACACCATTTCAGTCTTAGCTTGTCAGTATGTGTCCTGGTCTCTATCAGGTTCCTGGTGTCAGAGTTTCTGCGCGCTGTCCACCCTTCAGCTACAGCAAAGGCAGAGTCTGGGTTCCATTAACATAGCTCTAAGTACACTAACTCCATAACTGTTTATGGGAGAGGGGAAAAGGGGAAGTATAAGGGAAACGTCTTTCTCTCCAGGGCTCGTGCACATCTAGCTCCCACAGCCCCAGTATGTCCTTGCTCTCCTCGGACATGTAGTCACTGCCCTGGGCCATGGCCACCATGTTGAACACAAAAGCTAAGCCTACAGATTCTTTATAGGCCAAACTCCCAAGCAGTTATTGCAGCTCCCAGAGACCCATAGACACACATGCATGGGCAAATTTTGATCTCCAGAGATGGTCAGCCACAGAATAAACAGAAGTTAGGGCTTAAGCCCCCAACCTTGAGTCTAACAGGATACAATAGTCAAGAAAATCATTAAGATACAAAGTCAAACGCTGGGGGGATTGACTTGGTATCACTCTGAGTACACTAGACCAGGTTATGTTCTCTGGTAGCACAGCTGGGTTGGTTGTTAGCAATTTACCTCTTAGTAAGGGTAGTAGGGTGGGGGGAAGGGATGCATAAGAGTAAAAGATGATGACACAGACATATGAAAATGGCAGCTAGGCAAGGTGGCATATGCCTATCATCCCAGCACACAGGAGGTGAAGGCAGAAGATGAACTCATATCCAACCACCATCCACTGTATAGCAAACTCAAAGTCAGCCCAGGATAAAAGAGGCTATCTCAAAAAAAGTCAAAATGATGGGATGGAAATGCTATGATGAAACTCGTCCTTTGAGAAGAATAATTACTCAGAATGACAACAGTTGTAATGGTATATGCCAGTAGGATATGCCAAAGAACCAGAGGTAAGAGGATCAAGTTGTTCAAGTCCAGCCTAGGACACATATAGTTCTGGTTTTTTTAGGCTAAATATGGCAGCACATGTCTTTAGTCCCAGCACTTGAGATTCAGTGGTAGGCAGATCTCTGAGTTTGATGTCTGATGTTTGCCTGTCTCAAAGAAAGAAAGCAAGAAAAAAAAGGAAAAGAGAAAGAGAAGAATAAAGAGGCCTGGTGAGAGGGCTCATAGGTAAAGATGCCTGTCACCAAACATGATGGCATGAGTTCAGTCCCCAGAACCCATGTTGTGGAAAGAGAAACAACTCCCAGGCGTTGTTCTATGATACGTGTGCCACACACATATTCCTCCCTGCCTCTCTCAAAAATAAAAATAATAAAATAAAAAACTTACCCCATAGCACGTAAGATATTCATAATAAAGTATTTTCTAGAAAGGTATGGACCAACTCACATGAGATCCTCGTTTAAAAAAAAAAAAACTCGTTTCAGAGCAATAAGCCAGTTGCCCAATCCTGTGAGCCAGTGATGCCTCTGAGCAGAGCCCAGATCATTCAGCATGCCTCTCACCACAGCCATGGACATACCACAGGCCCAAGGCTCACCTAGATGAAGCCAGGCCCCAGATGAAACCATTCTGCCTGGGCCACACAGCTCTCCCATGTCCATGGGGCTTACCCGTCATTGAGGTCCCTCCTCAAATGTCATTTCTCCAGAGAGGTTCCCCTCTCTTGCTGTACCCAATCTAAAACCACCACTCCACATTTATTGGCTTTACTTTTCCTCTTAAAACTCTCACAGCCTGACACTGCACCGGACACCCCTTTGTTCGCTACTGTGATGATCATCTTCTCAGCTACCATATGAACTGACTGGACTGACTGCCATGGTTACAGAGTCCCTACTGCCTAGACCAGTTCTCCCAATCCGCTGGGATTTCATCTCTAAAGTCAATGACTGAGTGAGGCAGTGGACAAACTGTCTTTCTGAGATCCTTGGAGTGGCTTTCTTTTCAGTCACCTACCACTCCAAAAATTGTCAAACATCCTCTAGCGAATGAAGAGGAGCCGATCCCCGCCTCCCACCAAAAAAAATTCCCATCCGGGGCCTGGAATTGGAAAGGGCTAAACCTCTACATGCATCCCACTTACTATTCCTGAACACCCTGAACACCACTACTGGAATTTTCCCTCCAGCCCAACTAGCCTGTGGTTTACCCTCTCCTATAAGCTCCATGTTTCAGAGCTCCCGTAGCGTGACACAACCAGCCCTATAAACAAGTACTCCCCTCACCTCTGCTGTCATATGCATTTTAACACCTGCTTACCAATACTTAGTTCCCTACTCATCCCCCTCTTCCCCATCTTCTTCAGACCAAGAATTAACTTCTCTGCTTCACTAAGACATTCCGTGTTATGGCACTAACTTAATTGCAAAGTGAGCAAAAATTAACTCAGGAGTGCAGCTGTGTGCAGATGGCACATGTCTGTAATTCCAGAACTCAGAAAAAGGAAGCAGGGGAGATTTGGTCAGAATAAACCTGAGATCAAGAACCTGTTTCAGAGTGTGAGTGTGTGTGTGTGTGTGTGTGTGTGTGTGTGTGTGTTCACATATGTGCAACCAGGTTAATACATTCTTTTCGATGAGCAGTGCTGTTAAGAAAGGGTTATTCCTGGAAACAACCTAAATGCCCCTCGACCAAAGAATGGATAAGGAAAATGTGGTACATTTATGCAATGGAGTACTACACAGCAGAAAAAAATGATATCTTGAAATTTGTAGGTAAATGGATGGATCTAGAAAACATCATATTGACCCAGGTAACCCAGAACCAGAAAGACAAATATTACATGCACTGACTCATAAGTGACTTTTAGACATAAAGCAAAGAAAACCAGCCGCCTACAATTCACAATCCCAGAGAACCTAGACAACAATGAGGACCCTAAGAGAGTCATACATGGATCTAATCTACATGGGAAGTAGAAAAAGACAAGATTTTCTGAGTAAATTGGGAGCATGGGAACCATGGGATAGGGTTGAAGTGGAGGGGAGAAGAAGGGAGGGGAGCAGAGAAAAATATATAGCTCAATAAAATCAATTTTTAAGAAAGAGAAAGGGTTATTGTTCCAGTGTAGTCAGAGGAGTTTCTACACAAAGGATCAGGGAGTCACTGGATCCAACTGTGGTGGAAAACAGCATGAATTTGCTGGCTATGGCCAGAAACTCTGAGCTGCAAGCACCGAAACCTTCCATCTTCATTTTTCAAACCAGTTCTTATTTTTCATCTCATTTTTCACAAGAATTCATTTATTTTTATGTGTGTGGGTGTTTTGCCTGCATGCATGATGTGCAGTAGGTGCATGAAGAGCCTGTGGATGTCAGAAGAGAGTATTAGATACCGCTAAGGAACTGGACTTAGAGATGGTTGTGAGCGGCTATGTGGGTGCTGGAAATTAAACGCAAGTCCTTGGAAAGAGCAGTCAGTGGTCTAACTGCTGAGCCACCTCTCCAGCTCCTTCCCCATGCCAATTCTAACCAAAGAAAGCACGCAAACAGCTCAGTCCAGTTTCTGATCTCCAGTTAGTCTCTAAAGCCTATTGTGTCGGCTCTTACCATACCTGGAGTCCTGTTTACATCCTTTGCCTCAAGCACTACAACCTCACAGGGTGAGTCACAATGTAAGCTCCAAGGCCAGGCACATCTGAATACTGTGTGTGTCTGTCAAGAGAATCCTGAATTTTACCAACCCTAAGTCAAATGAATTAAAATCTTTGGTAATGGGGCTAGCTAGATGCATTTTATTAGACCCTATGCTGGCTCTCATGATTCCTTGGCAAAAC